GAAAGCTATAATATAGGAAAAAAATTTAAAAATAATCAAACCAAAACTCCATAAGCCGGATGGGAAACCTTTTAGGCTACCCCTACTCCTAATTTTTGTCGTGCTATGCCCTTATATTTCAACTTAATTCCAAAGTGGTACTAATTACTCTTAAATGTTGACACGTGGCAAGTTAAATTACTAAAATACCCTTTGAAATTCACAAATATGTATTTTACCACCCTCGAGACTGAGATCAGGTGCATGAATAATCAAAAAGGGAATATGAGTTCACAAGCTGAATAGTTGAATAAACGACTTATTGGATTTAGTCAACATCTATGGAACTTGAACAAAGGGTATGTAGAGAAATACAAAATTGGGCACAGTGTATGGTCTGCTTCAGTTTGAATTAAGACGAAGTAACGACATAGAGGCCGGCTATATAGCCTATACTTATAGGTTGTACTGGTCAATAGATTATTTATTTACAAAGGATGTGGACTTATAAGATGTCGTGGTTGCCAGGAATTTATTTCCTTCAAGCCAAAGTTTCCTTTGCATTTGTGGAGAGTGTGCAACTCATCAAAGTGAATTTATACTCAGTTTGGTTTAAAAAAGTGTTGGATAAGGATGTGTCTTGCAGTCTTATCACTGAAAATTAAAGCAAATGTTTTTTTTTTACTTTTTGCATTTAAAATATGAGTAAAATTGGTCAATGTAAAAAAAAAAGGTAGATTTTAATAATTTCGAAATTTGTGTTTATAGTCATCACAACCAAACAAGTTTAATAAGAATGTAAAATTTATCAAAAAAACAAATGAAGTTTGCATTTTCATGAACCCAACAATATTTGTATTTGCCTTTACACTCTTGCCAAACACAGTTTAAACTCAAGTTCTCAAATGTTGAGTCTTATAAGCTTATTTAGACACATTTAGCACGTTTTGATTGATTAAAAGATCATTTTTTTTCCTGATAAACATTTATGCTCCAATCAATCAACCCTTCAAAGGAATCACAAGAGAGAAACAATGTGGCTTGTACAAAGCAAAAGATGGGATTCTTTATCATATATTACTGGCCAAGTATTAAAATATTGATATAATATATTCCAATGGTGTACCTAAATACACTTGAATGCATTAATACATAGCTTTTTTTTTTTTGAAACATTTAAAAGCTGGCAATTGTCTTTCCAACCCCTTGATCTTATAAATAAAATAAATAAAAAAGTAAAAAGGACAAACATAATACCCATGTTTGTATATCAATCATATCGATATTTTAATCCATGTGTATCAATGTACATCAATATTTTAATCCTTACTAGTGACTTGATTTTGCACATGTAGTTTGCATACACATAGGCTTTAATATTCAAATCTATTCAATTAATGGAATAAATTGAAGAAATCATAACCAAATAATAAGATTCAAAGTATTGGTACAATAACATCATCGGTAGCTATTTTAGAGAGAGAGAGAGAGATCAGTCAATAGAACTTTGAACTTTGTGATATGGCTCGAGAATTTGGATGTGGACAAAGCATGAGAGCTAGAAAGGCTGAAAAGATGGATGATGTTTACCAAATTTATGTGGGAAGTAGTGTAACAATAACTTCTTCAAAGGTGCCAAAGCTGACCTGGTTTGAGTGCATCTGTGGAGCCTTCGAATCGACTCAAAGGTAGCAAAGAAACAACAATATCTGACAAATTAAAGTCATAGTAAATCATTTGGAAGGCAATGTATTGGAAGATGATTTGTGCTCAACGTTAATTAATTATATTGATGATTCCTTTGTTAATAGTAACGATGTTGCTCCTAGCTTTGTTATTCTTGGATTTGGCCTAGTTGGATCGACATATTGTAGTGTGTATTCTTGGAAAATTGTAAAATGGGATGAGCAGTCTATTTGAAGAAGTTGGTTATTTTATGAAGTTTTTAGCAAAATGTAAAATTGTATGTTTTGTAAACAACAACCTAGTAGCACATGAACAAACTAATAGAGCTAGTTAGATTAGCCAAGTCAAATTTAGAATAAATTGATTTGCCTCTGGATTGGATTTTTTATCCATTCTTCCAATTCTCGAGAATCTTGTAATTCTGATATGAATGAATGAATTACTTTTCTTTTGTCCAAAAGAGAGAGAGAAATCAAAAAGAAGGAAAAAAAATCAATCAATCCTTTAATTGTTGTTTCTAGTGTTGGAAAATGGGGTCACTGTAATTTTGGAGGAGAAGCTCTGAAGCACGTCTGAAGGTATTGTCTTTAAAACGTTATTTGCCCCCACTTAGTTTTACTAAGTTTGCTGTTGAGTTACATGCAAATTCGTTCATATGATGCAACAGAGCCTTGGGCGAGAATCTACAACTAGCAAAGTTGAAGAATCTCCGAAGAAACGTTCTGTGAGACTATAGCAGACCGGACTGAGAGAGAGAGAGAAAGATAAAGTAGATTTCGAAAATGTGTGTTTTTGAAGTCTGATTCATGCTCCTTAAATAGTTTATGAAGAGGTATGAAGAAAAGGTAGGTGCTGTTTAAAAAGTAATTAACAGTTAATGACTGTTAACTTTGAATTGTCTCTTGATCACACCCGATCGAATCGTACTCGTTGATCTCACCAACGGTGATCAACGGTTAGCATCGCGCCAAAACCAAAGCCACATTTCGCGAGCCACGCGGGTGTGAGCAAAGTGCACCTCTAAAGCGCCTTATTGCGCCCCACACGCATGTGTGTGTGTTGCGTAGTATCAAACCCCCATACTCTCCTCTACTATTTCTAAGGAGTGTAAATCAACTTCTATTAAAATACTGAAAACAAAGCTTATAATTTTCCAATGTGGGACAAGCTCAAAACTGGGTTTTATAAGAAAAAAGCTAATTTTCAATCAAATGTGCAGGTGCAATTTCTCATGTAATTGACCAATCAAACCCATTGAATTTAATCTCTTATTAGATTAAAATTCAACATCTAGTTCTTTACTTTTATTTAAAATCTTCTCTAAAGCGTTATTTCATGATTTTTATTGTATGTTTCAATCTTGTTGTTGTTGTTGAAATGGTAGCCAATACTTATGTCTATTTTTTCAAAGCTATTGATGAGTCTTAAAGAGCCTAGAGAACCATTCATAACTCATGTGACATTCACTTCTCTCCCAAGTTGCAAAAGTTTTTCCAAGAATTAGATTTTCTTCTTTTTCTTTTTTATTTTTTTAGGTTTTCAAATAAATGTTTCTAATGAAATACATATTTGTTTCCCATTCTTATTGTTCTTTTGATTGCTTTAACTAACATATCTATCTCTCCTTCTCTTTAGTTTTGACCCTTCCTTCTATTGTAGTAAAAGGTAAATGACACCTCCAAATAGAAGAATTCTCCCTATCATTGTTTCAGGGCAAATTGGTACTTGCACCATTCGAGCAGCCGCTTATTGCAACCTTGTTATATTGCTCCCATTACCATTCATCTTTCCCCATATGAATTGTAATTTCTTGTCTTAATGGAGATAGTTTTGGCTTTTGAGCAGATGTCATGCATTGTTTTTTCATTGGTATTTATCATCTTTGTTTGTTGTTGTTTTAACTTTTTTTTTGGGTTTTGATCACCATATTGATGATTAAAGTGGCAATAGCAATTGGGATACTCTATTTTTATATTTCCTCATACAATTTTAATCTTTTTTTTTTTGTATTTCAATGCTATTATGAAATCAATTTGATTTTTTTTCTTTTTTTGTTTCAATTAGCTAATTATACCAATAACTATTTCACGTGCCACGCCTTTATTACTTTGCATATAATAGACACCATGTGGGCTCAACAATTATTATGGTTTTATGGGACATCTAACATCATGAAGATCCTCTACATGAAATGTGTAGAACTAGAAAATACAAGGCATTCTAGTCCACAATTACTTGATTGAATTTTGTTTGATAAATTAACCTTATCTCTCATTGTCCTTATTATAATTTATTTCTCATTGTCTCTTCATTTTAATTAGAATCCAACTAATGCATCTCCATGTTTACATAAGGTGTATTTGTTATCAGGACATTAACAACATTAAAGATATTATATATGATGTGTCATTTTATTATTGGTTCATGTCTTTTGCTGCTGGGTACATTTGATGCACCATATATTTTGCCTCATTTTTATTAGCTTATAACTAATTATTATATAATTTCCCATTTATATTCTTCTAGTTTTGTTATGTGTCTAGTAAGAGTGCAAAAAGTGAATGCAATTTTTTTTTTTTTTTTTTAAATGGAAGGATGCAAACTCAAATTTTGCATGAATGAATTTTTATATTGCATTTACCAATTGAGTGGTGGAAGCGAATTTTGCTTTCATTTTAAATGCAAAAATGGTTGAAAAACCACATCAGTACAAAATTTATCCTAGTTCTGCATTTGCACCCTTACCAAAACGCAGCCTAAACATTTGAAGGATAACAGATCTCACCTAATTTGGACTGTTGTAGGTTGTGTAGGACTTGATTTGATATGATATGGGTTGTTTTGTGGCGTGGGAGCATGGTCTTCTAATGTGGGATGTCACATACAATCCATTTTTTTTTTTCACATAAAATCAGGCATATGTGGTGTAGGAAGTGAATCTTATTTATGTCCCTGACTTTTTGAAACAGATTTTTCAAAAAGCACTTTTACAAAAGTAAAGTCCAATCATTTCCTGTTTGCATGTGTTATCTCCCTATTGGAGAGTAGGTCATGTCCATTTGTCAACAGATCATCAATATATTTGTTTAGTTGGTTTCCTCTGAAATTAATGGCAAAATCGTAATATCCAGTAAAGGAAATGCCAAATAGGTAATGAAAGCCCCTCCATTGACTCGAGTCAATTTCCAATGGCGTGGAATTCTTTAACGACAGAAAATGACACAGGGAATTGGCAACAAATCTGTATTTGCCGAATTAGATTAAGGGCAAATCAGTCATTCCGTTTCAAAATTGGCAAACATCATTTCGCTTTCCAACACTACTTAAAAAGCAAACAAAGAGCTTCTCCTTCTCCTCTCTCCCTGTCTTTCTCTCTGTCTCTCCCCTTGGCCTGTCTGTTTATCACTGCAACATCAATTCTCTTGGGCATTTAGTCGAACAGTTCCTCTTCACTGACTTCTTTCTGATTTCCTGCCGGGAAAAGCAATCCGGTCGACGCGAGTTGAAGTGAAAGAAGACATAAGACGGAGAATGGAGTGATGAAAGTTTTTATTTTTATTTTTTATTTTTTAAGCTATGTCGTTTCCATGACTTGAGTGGTGGGGGGTGAAAGGTAGCGATGGGGAAGGTGGGCTTCGGTTTGGCTTTGAGTTGTGCAGTGGCGTCGTGTACGATCGCAGCTATATTGGTGAGTCGAAGAGTAAAGAGCCGGCGGAAGTGGAGCAGGGTGGTGGGTGTCTTGAAGGAATTAGAAGAGGGATGTTCCACGTCGATAGGAAGATTGAAGCAGGTTGTTGATGCAATGGCCGTTGAGATGCACGCAGGGTTGGCATCTGAAGGCGGGAGCAAACTCAAGATGCTTCTCACCTTCGTTGACAATCTCCCCGACGGGTAATGAGTCTCTCTCTCTCTCTCTCTCTCGTCCTTTCTCTCTTTTATTTTTTGTTGAGGATTTATGGGTTTTACTCTTGTCACTGGGACGATTAATTGGATGGTCCATGCGTCTCCGCTTGTTCATTAGTTTCTCAGGTTTTAGCACTTCTAGGTTTTTTTGTTATTCTTTTGTGTTCTTTTGTTGATTGGAAGTGGTTTTGTCTGTTTTGTTATTATTTTTATTGAGGTTTTAATCCTTCAATCTTTTGGTTCTATCTATTGATGTCCACTTTCTGTGCTTTGTAGAGTTTCATTTTTTAAATTTATTTTATTCTATTTTGCCTTGGTTGTCATGTCTTTGACATTAGAATAGATTTGTTGTGTTGTTTTATTCTTTTCACCAATGTCTTTGCAATTTTTTTCTCCTGATTAATAGTTATTGAAGGGTAACTTGTTCTTTTTCTGTTTCCTTATTGTTGTTGTGCAAATTGAACTCTTTTAAAAATTGTCACTGGTATTGCCTTGAGTTGTTAATTTTGAATTTGATAGAAGTTTGTTTTTTCATTCTTTTCCTTTTTGGTTCCACTGTTTCATTTCTTTATTGTGCATTTTATTATGGAAAACTGTCTTTTATTATTCATACTTTTTCCTTCAAGTGAAGAGAAGAATATAATCTTCTTTTCCTAGTTATGGTGGCGGTTTTGTTTGTTTGTACGGAACTTACTGTATACTACACTGTAAATTAATCAAATGGATCTATCTGCAGTTTTCTCTCATTTGTTATTGCATATATTTGTTTAAATTGTTGTCAATGTGAAAGGAGGGAGGGACATGGAATCCTTATTTTTTATTGATTTCTTGGCTTCATTACTGAACTATTTCAGTGACGTGCACCGCTGATTGTTTGATCCAGCAACTATTCAGGACTTCTGATCGTTGCATTTCCACTTTTATATTGATTGAGAGGGAGGGAGTCAATTTATTGTTGTGATCTTTCCTCCAGGAATGAAAAAGGAACTTACTATGCACTCCATCTTGGCGGAACCAATTTTAGAGTATTGCGGGTTCAGCTAGGGGGGGAAAATTCATTGATCTTGGGACATGAGGTGGATCGACAACCTATTCCCCAACATTTAATGACTAGTACAAGTGAGGTACCCCACCCCCCTAAAAAAGGAAAAAGAAAAGAAAAACTTGTTTGGATAGCTCTAAAATCTTACAGTCTTACCAAATTTACATACTCCTCATGAATGCAGGGTCTTTTTGATTTTATTGTCTCAAAATTAGAACAGTTTGTTGAGAGAGAGGGCAACGGCTCTATGTCTATGCTGGACAAAAGGAGGGAGCTTGGCTTTACGTTTTCTTTTCCTGTTAAACAAACATCTGTTTCATCAGGCATTCTCATCAAGTGGACAAAAGGATTTTCCATTGAAGACATGGTAAGTTGGATATTATTCCAAATATAGAAAAAATACATGGTACATAAACCTTTTCTTTGCTAAACATTTCTTTGATTTATATTCTTCATAACAGAATTCATTGAAAGCATCTCTTACCTCCCCAGTTGAAATTTAGTTCTATATTATTTAATCTACTTGTGATTGGTAGAATTATGGTAAACCTTTTTTTAATAAATTTAACCACAAAGTATTATCTGCAATTAGAAATCATTTCTTGTTATATTTGCAAAATAGGTGGCTGCCCCTCCACCGGGAGTAAAATTTTGGGTTAAAAAAGAGTATGGATTTATGATTACTAATAGCATCTGAATCTGTCTAATACTTGAATGTTGATAGCAGCTTAAAGCGGATATCCTAACTTATAGGTTTCTGCTGATGTAACTCAAGGATGTTTGGATCAATTGACTTTAAACATGAAGTTCAAGAAAATTAATAGAGAACCCGTAGTTAAGAAACATCAGAGTGCAAAACAGCCAGGTCCCAAGGTTCAAATTGTTCATGGCATAGGAAAAAAATCACTACTTGTGCTTAGGTATGATGGACTGATGGCTAAAGAGAGGAGCAAATAATTTGAATAAATTTTTAGTGTTTTTTCTAACTTTTCTATTTAGTATTTTTTGGTCATGGCAGTTTTGGTGGTTCAATCCATGGCATTTAACTAGTTTTATATTCTAAAGATTTTTCTCCAATCCTCAGTTAATTTGGATAATGCATGGAGCCGAAAGAAAAATAACAATTCAAATTGTTTAGAGTTTAGACCTATAAGTAACTTGCATCCTTTATTCTCATTCCAGAGAGTCAGAAGCTTTGCACTGTTAATGAGGATGATTTGTGACATCCTTGAAGCCTGAAACTTCTACATGTATATTCTTTTCTTTACATTGTTTTTTTGGTTAAAAAATATGATCTAGATTGATATTCTGTGGTGGTCCTTCCTCCTGCTAGATTGGATCACTAAGTTCTTATGGTGGATCTTTGATAGCATGGCAATTAAGATACTCTTAGGTGAGTTTGAATGTCCCTATAACCCTTTGCTATTGCAGATGGAGAGAATGCTAATTTTCTCTTCTGTTGTTGAAAATCCATATATCAGCTTTTGTTTTATTTCTACCTTTTTGAAGTTAAATAGATTCAGTGGATTCGGGAGATTTACTTGACAATCTTTTGTAGGCTTATCACACTATTAGAATTGATAAACATATTTTTGGAAGTTGGCTCCTTTTGTCATGTGCTTTTGCCTATTGAAGGAGGGGAAACATAGCTTTGCTAATTTGCTCCTTGGCTGAATGAAAGGTTATTATACACTTCTATCATGAAAAGTCCATGGAATAGTTTGAAGTTTTGAAAATAGATGAATGCTTTTCCTAGTTGGGAAACATAGTTTTTGTTGCCATCCATCTTCCTTGGAATTTGCCTTTTGTGGTAGGGAAAATTTTCTGTTGCTCTTTGCCCTTTTCTTATATTATTCTGGTTCAGGATAGATTCTTACTTAGGGGCCATTGGGCCATTGCTTGGTTTAATGGTAAAATCTTGGGTTTGCAAGCATGAGAACGCAGGGTCCAGTCTGAGAGTAATTACTTTGTGCAAAAAAAAAAAAAATGCCAATAGTTGGGATTGTATCCAAGCTACCCCTCCCAAGACCTTAGATAGCTGGGATTAACATTGGGTAATGGTCTATTGGCCTTTCTATGTATCCTTATCTAGGGGCTGTTTGATAACAGATGGAGTGGCTCAACTGATTCTTAGGTCCTTTGTCTTTCAGTTGATAAATAAAATAGTTAAATGATAAAATATTTGAGGGTATAGCAATCAACCCAATTTCATCTCAAACCATTAAAGGAGGTCAAAACCCTACTTAATAACTTGTTTACTAAATCACAAAACAGTAAGCCTTTCAGTTCAGCTGCTTCAGCTGTCTTTTGGTAAGCTAGAAACCGAGCATGATGGTGAATTTAACTCTGGCTAATAAAATAAGTTATTTTGATTTTTTTGATCGGAAATGGTAACTTTCATTAACTTCAAAGAAAATAGAACGACTATCACCTTCAAAAAGGTGATCCCCAAATCACAAACAGTCTTACAAACATGCCCAAAATAAAATTTCCCTATTAACCCCTTGCTTTGCTAGAGCATTGGCCAAGGGATTTGCTGATCTTCTAGCCCATTTGAACTGTACCCTAAGCTCCCTTGTTAGATTCAAAATTTCCCTTACAGTTTGTCTAAGGGTCCAAGTGCCTAGCTATTTGTTTGCATCCAGCATATTACCAACTTTGAATCTCCCTCCACTTCCAGCTGCTGAAAGCCCAATTGTTTTGCCAATCTGAGCCCTTGCAGTAGTGCCATTACCTCCACCCTAAGTGAGTTACGCAGCCCAACTGGTCCAGAGAAAAGAGCCAGGTTTTTTCCTTCCACATCTCTAAAAACACCCCCAACTCCAGAGGGGCCAGGGTTACCTACAGAACTGCTATCAAAATTCAATTTTACCCTGTGCTGTAAAGAAGAGAACCAACTTTCAAGAATAGTAGTAAATGAGGAAGATGAGCCTGCTACTGCACTCCAGCCTCTAAGCAAGTCATCTACCGAAAAGGCCTTGAAAAGATTCAAAATTTTCAGCCAATGTATGACCTTGATGGTTATTCCTTCTTACCTATTCATCCTTTGATTTCTCTTGCCCTAGGAAAAGAAGCTCAAATTAGTAAACCAAGAATGAATAACTACTTAGAAATTATTTCTTAATCAAAGAAGCACCGGTTTGTAAAATGAACTTTTCACAAAAAATGGTGATCCAATAATGCCGTTTTGAGTGCAACCATATTACAAAATCCCATGGCACTGCTAGCTTTAACTCTGCAAGATTTAATCCAATTGTTTTTTTTATTTTGAGAAAAAATAACTGATTGTATTAAAAAAAAAGAGAAAGTACATGAGGTTGTGTACAGTGTACAGGAAGAACCAGCAATAGAAATTACAAAGGCAGAATTCTTTTACTATACAAGTTTTCTCTAAAGATGCCCGATCTAGCCAAACTGTCAACTGTAGAATTTAGCTCCCTGGGAATCCAGGTTAGATTTACAGCCAAGGTGTCCAAAATATCTCTGACTTCAGTCAGGTAGTGTGCCAGTCTCCATGGGCCTCCCTCCTCCATGTGAATCCAATTGTCCCAACTATGCTTCATCTTGTTCTCCTGTCCCCAGAAAAAAGATGTATATTTCTAGTGTAATGGTGTTATTGATCTATTGAGGAATTTTAAAATGATTCACAGCAAAAGCAGGGAAAGTGGCCAATACAGAATTGATAAGCACGCCTTTGGAAGCTTTTCTAGGGTGTTAGCACTGGAGGAGACCTCTGACTTCTGGAAATTAATTAGCTAGCTTGATGCCCTCAAGTAGTCCTAATAAGTTGCATAAATTTTATGGCAATTAGAATGTTGGCTTTCAGAGTAGCACACAATTGTTGCAAAAAATATGTTTGAGAGGATCGTGCTGTTCCTCTGTAACCTAAGCCCTTTCAATTCACCATTGTTGATTGCAGAGCTAATCATAAGGGTAGGACTTGGGCCGTGAGGATGAATAGGTAGAGGGAAAAGGAATACCCTTGCTGGATCTGCTCGAGGGACAAATCCTACATTTTTGAACACCATTGAATGAAATTGTGAATGCAGTTGGAGAAATACATTGGTACACCAAGGATCTGCAATGGGCCTCAATGTCCAATTTCTCTGTGAAATTCCATTCAATGTGATCATTGGAGGGGTGGAATAGGTAACTTAGCCCAAAGCAAGGTGTAAGCAAGTTAATAGTTAAACCTGAGGGGAGGTCATAGTATTTGACCAAAACCCCAGGGGAAGTATAATTGGTTTACCCTCTTTAATTATCTGCGGAAAATGCTTGACTTGTTTGGACTTGTTTTCCTATCCAACTTACCATTTTTAATTGAATAAATTTTTATTTCCATTTAGATTAAATAATTTTATCATACAGGAATTGCAATAATTATTGATTTGATCTAGGGTTATTGGAACCATTTTGGAATGAACATATATGTATGACACAAATTATACACGTATGCAATGCATATAAAGTTCATGCACGCATTATACTGCATATGTATTCTGCAACCTCTTTCCTGATGTGTTATGTTTGCCTGTCAGATTGGAAAAGATGTTTCTGAATGTTTGCAGCAAGCAATAAGAAAGAGAGGACTTGATATGCGGGTAGCAGCATTGGTAAGGCACCGTCTTATTGATCATCATGATTTTCTGGATTTTGGGTGGCAGCATACATGAGCAAAATGCATGCTTTTTAGTTGTGTTGGGGCCACATAATTTAATTTGGTATGTTGCTTTCTTCAGTAGTTCAGATGGCTAGATTACTAGATTAGGGGTCAGTGAAATCATTGTTCCTACTCTTCAGATATATGAATTGCTCATTCTTGGGTCTGTGAACAGATAGGATTTGGATTGAATTGGGGTACACTGGAGATCAATTTGGTTATTAGAATGTCATGTTTGAAACTTTGAATTCAATTTGTAATCTGATTAAAAAAATTGAATTTCCAAATTGGATCTGATTAAATTTCAGAACTCCCCCAAAAGGCCGACACTGAAAATAAGGAAAAAATTGTACACTTTTCACAGTGCAAATGATTTTTTTGGTGGATAGGTAACTAACTTTTTATTCAAAATTTTCTGTAACAGTAACTTGTCAAAAAATTAAATATAGATAGGCTAAAATGACAAATATATGCAGGAAAGTGGTTTTACCCTATTTTTAATCTGTATCTACCATATATGTACCTAAAACAGTAGAATTTATCCCTTGTGCAATAGAAGCCTAAGATGATATAATCAAGTTTAACTTGAAAGTCAAATAATCCACAAACGGCTCTTTAACCTACATATGACAGAAAATGAACTAACTGCTTGGTCTTAAATAACACAAATAAATCATTTTCTTCATTTCTTGTAAGAGCTTTAAAACAACCCTCCCTTACAAAACTAATTATAAACCAAAAAAATGACGAAAGTAGAGAACTAATTCTTAATTGAATTTATTTGAATCGTAGTGTATCATAGGAATCATATAAATCATAAGATTTGTGCATCAAATTGTAGGATTCATACAAAAATTGTAAGGTTTTTGCAGAAAAGGATTTAGACATAAGATTCAAATCAAAACCCTTTTGGCTTCATGATTCAAATCATGAATCGTATCATGAATCATAAGATTTTGACAATGACCAATGTTTTCGAAGGTAGAGGTATGAGACATCGTGCAAGGATCTTCCAATCAATAAAAGCATAAGCTTTGAGATGTCATTTTTATAAGGAAAATGGACTAAAATAAGTATAAGGATAATAATATGTATGAAGGGACTATAATTATATATAGGAATGTTTGGATGACTAAAGTTTTGAGAATTTAGAAGAATTAATTGCATTTACCCAAATCCATTGCTACTAGAAAGTTCTTAACATAAAACAGAAATTTTTAAGTGGATGTTCAAATCAATGATGATTGCTTATTCTCCTTTCTATGTGACGGTTCATAATTTGACCGTCTGGGTTGAATGGATCAAAACCATTTGATCAAAATAATAGATCTAAGCCATTAGATTGGAATATAAGGATAATAATATGTATGAAGGGACTATAATTATATATAGGAATGTTTGGATGACTAAAGTTTTGAGAATTTAGAAGAATTATTTGCATTTACCCAAATCCATTGCTACTAGAAAGTTCTTAACATAAAACAGAAATTTTTAAGTGGATGTTCAAATCAATGGTGATTGCTTATTCTCCTTTCTATGTGACGGTTCATAATTTGACCGTTTGGGTTGAATGGATCAAAACCATTTGATCAAAATAATAGATCCAAGCCATTAGATTGGAATATTAGGTCAGATTCTACTCAGTATTTTAAAAGTACAAGGTGCAAAAAAGCGTAAGAGACATTTTGCACCCAAGGTACAAGGTGAGGCACACACCTTTTTGAAGCAAGGCAGAAAATGCAAAAAACATTTTACAGCAGATGAATTTTGGGCAGAAATGGAGGAACTGGGTAAAAGTTTGTATCACCTCTCCAAAGTTCTCAATTTTGGTTAATGGACAGTCCGCAGGCTTCTTTGATAGTTCCAGGGGTCTTAGACAGGGTGATCCTCTGTCTCCTCTACTCTTTATATGTGTAATGGAGATCCTCACTTTATTCTATACAAAGGCTGCTGTTTCCGGTGAGTGGGGAGGTTTTGCAATTGCTCCGAGGGGAGAGAAGGTGAATATTCTCCATTTTGCAGATGTTACGTTATGCTTTGTGGATGCCTCCCCCTCACAAGTAGAGTTAAACCTTGGGATCTTATCTTGGTTTGAAGTGGTTTCTGGTCTAAAAGTCAATTGGAACAAGAGTCAAATTATCCCAGTGGGTCAGGTTTCCAATTTAGTAGATTGTGCTGGAATCTTGGCTTGTTAGATAGAGTCCCTTCCATCAAATATTTGGGGCTCCCTCTGGGGGTGAGTGGTGGTTCTTCTACAATTTGGGACCTGGTAATTGAGAGAATGGAAAGAAAGCTGGCCTCTTGGAAGGCAAAATACCTTTCTTTTGGGGGTAGGGTGACTCTGATTAAGAGTACTCTCTCCAATTTACCCATCTATTTCCTGTCTCTTTTCTCTATTCCAAACAATGTTGCAAATCAGCTTGAAAAGCTTCAAAGGAGTTTTCTTTGGAGAGGTTGGGAGGAGGAGAAAAAAGTGCATTTGGTGAG